TAGATCACTTTCATTTTGCTTGTAAGCGGGGGTGTGGCAAAGATGATGCCATTAACAGCATTTCACATCTAGTCAGTAAACACCTTGGCTCAACTGGTATTTTTCTTTTCTAAATTGACATACTGAACCCAGAAGCAGACTAGAGACAGCCAGTGAGTTCAAACTAGTAATGTGTCCTTCCGTATGAACGTAGGGTTGTATCAAGAAATTCAGAATGCTTTTTGTGAAGCACATATTGAGGCTTGTGTTGGTGTCGTATGTGGTGATGTTTGAAACCAAATAACTTATTCAGGAATGCATTTGAATTGCATTCAAAATGCAATTGACCCTACTTCACATTTTTTGGACTTTTGAACTTGAAATTGAACACACAAATTGGTAGGGGTGGTGACGTCTTACCCGATATTAATTTTCTAAAGCAGGCAGAATCAATCAAGAAAAACCAACCACCTGAAGTACTGTGGAAAAGTTATTTTAAATTGTTTCCACATTCCCTTTTGACCCTGCCATTGTAGACACCATATTAATAAGTTCATCATTTATATATTGAAGAAGATATACTAATTAATCACACAATTACAAACATAATTTATTCAATTCAAAGCCTTACACACCAAAGCCATGGTGCCATAACAATCACTCTGCCTGTTTTACATTTACTGTCCACTTGATGGCACAGTAGAGCAAATTAAGCACCGTGACGCTTCGGCTCATGAGTGAACCAATGGGATGGAAAGCTCACTAGTTCAAACAGTTTGATGAACAATGCCAACTGTTGAATGGATTGAGCAGGACATCCTCTGTGCGGCTGGTCAGTACAGTGAGTTTGGTGTGGCAGGCAGGCAGTGGTGCAGAGAGACCGTTTCAGACCACGTGGCTTCAGGGAAGCAGACAGGCATGATGTTATTCAGGTGGGCCAGTCAGCCTGCCACTAAGGGGGCCCTTACTTAGCATGCGCTGTGAACACTGAGGGCCCTGGCATTCAACATCCTAAGGAAGCCTTGGGCCATACACCGCATGAGGCCCCAGGGCACTGATCCCATTGGTCTATAATCCAGCACTCAACTGGAAGGCCCACGTTGATCGTCTCTGCTCCAGACTTCAAACGAGGATACATTTTTTATGTAGACTTAGAAATACAAAAATGGATGCTGTTGTTAGAGAATGTATTACAGAGAGGTAAGGTAACCTGACAGTACAGTCCACATCCCAGATCGCTCGTCAGGTACAGACAGCTATGAAGATTATGGGGGTCAGACAATCTATCAGAAGTCGGTTATCAGACAGGCACAAAAAATTGTGTCTGATCCAACCCAGGGAATTTTCTTTGGGATTCTGTCTTTCACTGTTAGAATGTACATATGATTAAAATTATAGATTGTTGCATTCTTTGTAAGTGGGCAAACCTGCAAAATCAGCAAGGGGTCAATACTTATTTCCCCCACTGTAAATCTGCTGCTGGCATCACCAGCACTGACACTTCTTCCCTACAGCTGGTTTCAACAGCTGATAGAAGATCTTCAGTATGTTGTTGCACACTGATGTCAAATGGTTTCTGGAGTAATAAATATATACATAAAATCATAAATCAATGAAAGTCCTATTAAACTTTGTCCACAAGGTGGCAGCATAACATCAGAAAGGCTTCACAAACAAACTTTGGAGAAACTGTCCAAAGAAAGAGATTATTATCACTTTGTATTCATGTGGTGATTTAGGTTTAGCCTGTATCCAAACATCCTCACAGTGGGATTCAGGCTCTGTTTTAATGTTTCAGAATTCAGTTTTGTGTTAAAAAGGAGTTCTTCTGAACATTTATTCTTTGAGAATGAAACCAAAGCAGAGAGGACTTGGTTCTTGATTGGTGTGATATTGTCTCAACTCAGGACATTTGGTTCTGATGCTACACAGCAGAGGTCTCATTAGCCAGAAACAGACTGGAGGACGGCTGGATTAGTTTTGTGACGTTCAAAGAACGTTTCGTTCATTTGACCTGATCTTGTATGTGACTCAGGAGGAACGGGTTGTCTCAGTGAGTAATTCGTTCATTTTCAGGCATGCGTGAATGGTCTTGGACTCTTACGTTCACTCGTCACAGCAGCTGCATGGGCTCCGTCAGCACAGGAAAGTATTGATTAGTTCACGACTCTTAACTGTGGTTCTCTGGGTTTGAATCGTTCATTTGTCACGAGACAGCTGGCTACAGGCTGTGGTTAGCAGGCAGCACAGGAAACACAATCTAACATTACAGTTTGCTCTTAGTTTGTAAAATATGACGCTCTGCTGCCAGTGGACTTGTTCATGTCTGTGATTGGTCATCTGCTGCTAACACCACCTCTTTTATGTGAACGCGTTCATGGCTGGATTTGGAAACCCTGGGTTGACTTACCAAGTTGATAACCAGCTTCGTTGTACCGCTTATCGCGATCCCGATTGTTAGGGTTAGTTTAACCAGAGAACAAAAACATATCCTGGGTATGTTGAACTCACTTCGTGGTACAGGCCCCTGGTATATTGTCCAAAACCTGCTCATGTTCTGAGTTACTGAACAACATGCAGCTGCTGGTTAAAGATTTACTACTGAAGATACAGATAAGCTCAGGATTTAGATCTCTGCGTTATTTCAAATGACACACAGAAAGCAGGCCAAAGGAGTTTCTTGTGAACACAGTTTACATCCAAAGGTTTAAAAGTTCTGAACATGAATTGCTCTCAATAAATAATCATAATGAAAAACTGAACTTTGATCACTTCTTTTCTCTGAATGTTTTCACTTTCACAGGTCACCGTGACATAAAAACTACATGAATAGAATCAGCAGTAAAATCTGATATAAATCCTGAAAAAGTTTTTTGACGACTTTTTGTTTAAAAAATGTGTTTCCCGACCGGTTATACTTCTATACTGGTAGTAGTGACGCTTGCGCAGTAGAAGTAAAACAGACCCTCATGTCAGTGGAACCACACGATTGGCCGAAATATGTTTCTCGCTTTGTTTGTTAAAAGCAGACGATTGGCTTTTTAGTGGGAAGGGCGGGATAACAGCCATCTTTAAAGTTACGTGCTTTCCCCATAGAGTTATATTAAGGGTGGCGTGTCTCCTCTATAAAGCCTCTCTGGAGATACCCACGCACTATTTGTGCTGAAGCTGGTGATCTGTTGGTGTGATTGTGAGCGCTGCTGCTGGAGTCCTCACTAAGACCAGGAGAGAGATCAGTGTCAGTTGTTAAAACTGGCTTCCTGAGGGTCAAAGAAATGATTTTAAGACACTACTGTTGGTTTTTAAAGCACTGAATGGTTTACATCCAATCTGCTCCTCCCTTCTGCAGCGGACAGACCTCTCAGCTGGTCTGGGATCAGGACTGCTTACTGTCCTGAGAGTAACCAACTAACTAAACCTTCTTATGGCCCGTTTCAGAGTCCTTAACAAATAGAGGAAACCACATTTAAGGGATTATTAGAAAAAGGATTTTTATTAAGTAAAAGTAATTTAATTTAATGAATATACCAAATCATTTTTAAAGTTTCACAAATGTGGCTGGTAAAACATAGTGCCAGGAGCCAAGAAAGCAACAAGCTGTGGTGCTGGCGACAGGAAGAAGCATGCAGACACACACAAACACTTATTTATGCTTCCTGAAGAAGCAGAGTATGACCACACTTTGAAACAACCCCAGAATACTGCAGTCTACTTCATCAGGATCAACTGATGACTGATAACTGATTGCATTTATTACATAAAATGTGGGACTGTTTGTCAGTCTTTTCCTGGTTTACTTTGTTTTAGTCCATTTAAATCTTTTCCACTCCACCACTGCAGCCCCCTGTTTTAACTGTGTTCAGCCCAACAGAGGCACAACTGGACCAGCTTCTGCATCCAGAACAGATGTAACCATGATAATTAATGTCACTGAAACTTGATGACTAACTGTGTCACTGAGAAATCAGAGAAAATAAATGATGTTTTTTTAAATTGCGGTGGTGTTTGAGCAGACTTTGCATCATCCGCCCCACCATCTCAGTTTGAAGCAGGAAGTGTGGTTTTATTACAGGAAACATTTCTGAGAAAATCAAGTAACACAACGTCAGCGCACATCAACACTTATGTCACTAAAGCAGCTCAGCAAGAACTCAATGTTACTCTTTAGTTTGAGTTCAGCTGCATGATATCTAGTGTATATCTTGTGTTCTTACACTGTAAAAGATTATTGTCTTTAATGATTTGCGTGAGGAAAACTGTATTCTAAATAATTTGTTTGTCCTGTCAGACTCCAACACTGACATGGTGATTAATGTCTTAATAATTTTCTATTGTTTCAGATCTACTTTATCCCATTGTTGAGTTAAAAAAAAGCTGCATAGAAACATCTCACTGACAGAATAGTGAACTATTCTGTGACTGCCATCCTAAGACAGGAGTTATTAGGAGTTGTACACCTTTTTTGAAGATTTATCAATAACTCCTATCAGGATAGCTCAGCAGTAAAACATTAGCTTCAATTTTCTCTAAATCAAAGGTCTCCAAAGCTAATTTGACAAAGTAAAAGCAGCCAAGAGCCATTCGTGTCTTATCATACTAATTACAGTCATTCACATCATGTCAAAACACTGAAGCAGCCGACTGAGATGTTTGTGTGTGTAAACATTTTCAAAACATCTTAAATTCACACCAGTTTTGTTTTGTTTTCATGTCATAGAAAACAAAACAATATTAACTATTATACATTTTTTATTAGTATTCATTATTATTAACAATATTATTAACGATATTATTATTATTATTCTCCCTTTACTTTTAACACTGTATATGATGTACTCTGGGCCTGGCTATTTGAATTTAGTGTCATAAGCATTCAGTCTTTACTACAGTTAGAGAGATGACCGGCACTGCATGGGGTCAACAAGAGAGGTACTGTATATACTTGAGTGCACTGTGGTGGGACTTCTCCTCAAATAAACAACTGAAGCAAAGACTTAGGGATCTGCCACACAAAAGCTTTCTTGAGTTTGATAGGTAAGGTTTTAATAGGATGAGTCCAAAAGGTCACATGGGTTATCATAAGTTTCCAGTACAGTACCCACTTCTTCATTCTTATGGAATAACTTTAATTCTCATCTCTGGTCTTATAGTCAAACAGAACAAACACTGCAGCCAACTCTGCAGTTGGGTAAACTTAAATCATAGCAGCCCGTTGGTATGAACTATATTTTCTATAGATGAAAAAACACCACCACAAAGAAGAAGAAAAAGAAGAATCACACCAACTGGCCGACCGACTCTCAGTCCAACATTTCCTTCCTTGTCTCCTCCCTCCTTGTGTCCAGCTGTGTGACCTGCAGAGCAGAAACAGGTGTGAGGTATCAGCTGTCAGCAGGTGAACAGAATGTCAGACATTATCTACTGCACTTTGATCACATGACTCGTAGCAGCTGTTTCCTCTAAAGTCTCATCAGCAACATCTTTCTAAAACACAAACATCTGATCTGTGATGTTTCTCAGCTCAACTACCAGGAAGCAGCTTCACCTGAGAGACAAAGAGACACTCTGAGCTCTACACGCTGACCTGAGAGACAAAGAGACACTCTGAGCTCTACACGCTCACCTGAGAGACAAAGAGACACTCTGAGCTCTACACGCTCACCTGAGAGACAAAGAGACACTCTGAGCTCTACTCACCTGGCTCTGTCACTGTCATGTTGATGATGCTGATGAGTTTAACTTTCCCTGTCTCGTTTTCCTCTCTAACCCGACACTCATATGTTCCAGTGTCGTTGAAGGTGACGTTCTTCAGAATCACAGAAGCGTCTCCGTCCTTCATCTCTGGATCTCTCAGCTCCACTCGACCATGATAAGATTCATGCTGGTAGTTTTCATGTGAGCGGCCGTCTCTGAAGAAGAAGACATAAATATCATCTGACTTCAGGTCAGTTCTGTTCCACTTTATCACTTCTATGGTAGCATTTCCGTGACCCCGACAGGGAAGAGTGGCGTCCTCTCCAAGCTTTGCATTCACTTCATGTTGATCTGATTAAAAACAGATCTTTAGGAGGTTACAAACATATCCAACAGCCTACAGAGTCAGATTCTACAAAGACAGTGTTTAGCCTATTTGAATCAATAATAAAATAAAAGACATTATAATAATAAGTACTGGCTTTTTGACAACAAAAGTATTAGACGAAGAGAAAATTCTAGTACATTTTATGATATATGGATTAAAAAGTAATAGCTGTACAGACTACAGTTATTAAAATTATTAATAAAGGTAATTCAGGAAGTTTCTGTATTTCTCTCCTAATGATCATGTAGTGTAAAATAAACTCATAAATCAGCATAATCAAAAGGCATTAATCAATCTGTTGATCTACTTCTCAAATTTCCTTTAAATACTTCAGTACTAAAAACTGTAAATATTTGTTTTGTTGAAAGGTCGGTTATCACATCTGTTTATTTCTGATATTTGGGTTTTATGCTGTTGTACTGTATAATAAAACCTGGACACGGCACCACTACCCATTCTTGCTTCCAGTCACCTGCCACCCACAAAACATTTCCTATAGGCCACCATTCTGAAAGAGTTGTCTGTAAAACTGTTGTGAGGAACCCAGAACTGCAAACAAGGTCAATTATGAGTCTTTCAATTATGAAAAGTTAAAAAACTTTCCTCTAGCTGAGAACGAAGTTGGCCGCAAACCCCAGAAGTAAACCCAGAAGCAAGACATTTTAGGGCAAATGCGCCAGGTGAGCAATTCTTAATGCACTGAACAGGTGCCATCTACTCACCTTGGTTTGTTGTGCAGCACAGCAGTGAGGTCAGAACTAAAGAGAAATCACACTCAGGTTGGTTTGAGGTTTTACTGCAGACACAACAACTGTACACCTCAGAGAAGATGGAGACCCTGATCCTCACTGAACACTCACAGTATCTTCCAGCTTTAACATCACTGTGTGTTTGAGTCTTTGTCCCTTTAACATTTTAAAGCTGGTTTCACTTCCTGCTCTTAAAGGTTGTATTAAAGTGAAGTGAGAACATTTTCTGAACAAACTGTTAAAAAATGATCTTCTTTCCTGTTTGCTCGTCACATTTCTCTGTAATTTCAGTAACTTCTGACTGTCCTTTATAGCTTGTTTTGGCCTCACTGATCAATAAACTCTTTGTCTTTGTAAGATGTTTTTATAAGATCAGATTTTTTATAATATGATCCCGTATGAAATGTGGGCACAACAGATCGTACTTACAGAAAAGCCAATGAAGAGATGTTTGTCCCATCGTACCATTTGGTGATGTGAGATCACACACTGAATTTTTCACTTAGAAAAGCTCAAACCACAGTTTCCTTTGTACTTTACTGCCTGTTTTCCTCTGCTGCAGTTGGCAGGAAATGTACTTGCACGGTTGATATATGATGTACTGGTCTCTAACTAGTCAGCACTATCAGCTCCCTTCTTACAGACAATTTCACACCCTCACATACTTTCTTAGAAAATTAAGGTAGTTATCAACAAATCACACTTTTTAATCAGAAATTAGGGTTGGGCCGATAGACGATGTCCATTGGCGGTGGCTGACAGACATTATGGTGTTGAGCCGGCATCGTGATCGTGATTTCTCCATCAGCAGTATTTTTTATAAAGTTGCCTAAAAGACACAGAACTCATCTATTTTCCTTATTTTTCCACACACTATCCGTTATCACAACAGGGCTGCGTGCTTGTTGATGACGTAGTCAAACAACCAAAACTAACATTTGCACTCTGACAGAGTGTTGTGGTGATTTGCTGTCGTGTGGCAACTCCACGCCCAGGAGGATAAAGGTAGTGCTGGAAAATAATGGTTGGCAAACAATATTGACACTTTGGGCCCAATTTGGACATTTTCACTTAGGGGTGTACTCACTTTTGTTGCCAACGGTTTTGACATTAATGGCTGTGTGATGTTATTTTGAGGGGACAGAAAATTTACACTGTTATACAAGCTGCACACTCACTACTTTACATTGTAGCAAAGTGTTATTTCTTCAGTGTTGTCACTTGAAAAGATATAATCAAATATTTACAAAAATGTAATTTAAGATAATAAAAAATGTTTCACATTGTGTTGAGATTTTGTTTTTTACACGCCCAAAAGCAGACACAGACTCAGAGGGAGATGTTTTAGTAAAAGGTTTATTGAAACAATAATAGATGAAGGGAAAAAGGCTGATGAATGTGGAGTATGGATCATCTGTACTGACTGTTAAACCTCTTTCTAGACTTGATTCTAATGATTTCAACGTACTATTTACTGTGTCCGTATTGCAACATGGAACATTCACAGTTATTAGAACTAATTTTTAGCTCCTACTTCAGAGAAAATACTCTTCCAGCACGAGAGAAACTTTGAGCTACATAAGTGAACGCTCAATTGTTGAGGGGCTTGTTTGTCTCAGGCAGCAGTAGTGTTGTAGTACTCGAGACTGGTCTTGGTCTTAAGACAGGTCTTAAGACCACTTTTTGATGGTCTTGGTCTCGTCTCAGACTCGACCTCCTTTGTACTTGGTCTTGTCTCGGTCTCGGACATAGAGGACTCTGGATTTTATTTCAAGACCAGTCAAGACCATAACTTTGGGAATATCAATAAATTGCTTTTGCATTGTCTGATTTGTTAACATCCTAACATAAATAAAACTTATTGCTTCAAATGCAACCAATAACCCTAATTAAACATGTGTTATTCCCGTTAACGACTGTCACCCCTCCCCGCGATGCTTATGTTGATTTCAGCTTTTAATGTTTGTATGTTTCTTTGAGAAGTAGCTATGATCTCGTTCCACAGCATGCTGTGCAATGCAGGGAACTGGTCTTGGTCTCGACTCGGTCTCGCCCTCTCTTGGTCTTGGTCTCGACTGCTCTCAGCCCCTAAAAGTCTTGGTCTCAATAAACTCTGTTCTTGGTCTTGACTTGGTCTCAGTTTGGGCGGTCTTGACTACAACACTAGGCAGCAGTTTACAAGAATTTGCTAAATTTTACGATAAATGGCAAATTAAGCCACACAGACTACATACAGACAACTTTGATTTTAGCCTTCATTATTAGCCTGATCTAAACACTAACATAGCATAGTCCTGAAGAATCCTGTCATGTTTTACCTTGTGGGGCCTTGACTCCGTGTGACTGTTTGAAAACAGATTTACCAACCAGAACAGAGGCTCAGATTGATGAGATTGTTCTATAAAATTGTGGTGACCTAGTTATCTGTAGAAACTCTGAAGTAGAAGCATGCAAAGACTACAAAGGATGCCTCACTTTGTTAGTACTACAAAACTTTCCATTTGAATAATCTGCAGTAAATCTTGCGCAGCAGAGACATCAGGTACAAGTACTAAAAGAAACAAACAAAAGTTAATTCAAATGTTCAGAATTACGAAGATAGTTGTCTCTAGCAGTAAAGGAACAATTCAGACTTAAACCAGTGGTTTAACTTCTGTATTTTCTGCTGCTCAGCTGGTCATAAAGCTCTGCTGCAACTCAGAAGTGATGCACAGTGCATGTACTCAAAATCCTCAGCCGGTCTCTCCTGAGCTGTTGGCATGGAGATGGGTGAGAGGTCCTCACACCTAAATGACAAAATAGGTCGACAGGCTTAACAGACCTTAAGTACGTTACCTAAACTAAGGTTTAGAAAAAGGTCATAGTGTTAGTTAAAACCATGATCTTGATCACCATTTGGATTACTCTGTTATGTTTTTGCACTGCCAACCTCCCCTCACCTCACCTGTAAGATGCACCTGTTCGTTTTTATAAAACTCCACTAAATATACCTCTGTCTTCTCAGTGTCTAAGTTGCTTAAACTATCAACCTTTTTCTGTTGAGGATGTGCTGTTACTGTCAGGGGAGTTGATAATAACATTTAGATAAACAAAGAGGCAAAAGTATCAACACTACTACATTATAAATAACAACAATCAACACTAACTGTAACGATGCATTTTGCAATAGATTGTACATTGATTGATTTATTAAAGGGAGAGTAAGTGATTCTGCAGAAAGATTGTTAATATTTGAACTCAACAGCCAAACAAATACACCTCTCTCTGCGGTGCTCTCACAATAGCTCCGCCCCCCAAACTTCTCTAAAGTTTCTCCATCTTTGAAACACCTTCGCTGTTGTCTTTCTTCTCTAATTATACTCATCCGACCTTTTCCTCTTTGGCTGTTTCTCAAACATCTCTCCTTCTTCACGGTGCCTGGAGTCCAGCATGTTCGAATGTGCCAGTGTCTTGAACTCCGATTGCCCCCTCCCATCACACCTGTGCACGAGCACTCACGCCACCTGCTGCTGATTGACTGTAACAGTGTTGTGGGGAAGATCCACACCACCTTCCGTGTTTTCCATTTACAGAACCAGGGCTGTGTAGGAAAATTGATTTTTTTTCGGAACACACAAAATGGAGAGCTAGCAAACAGCGAGGAAATGCCAGATTTAACAAAAAGTGTATTGATTAGAATCACTTAATATCCCTCTGAATATGGTCTATGTAAGTTCAGTGAATGATTTCACCACATTCTCATCACAGTGCATCATAACTGACATTTTCAAACAGCTTGACAATGCAAAGTATTCGACGCTAAAGGTACCCTTCAGCATGCATATGAAATGGCACCGTTTGCTGTGTCGCAGCAACACAAAGGAGGGTTAGCAGGTTGACATGCATAAAGTCGGTGACTTAGAAGTAACATTTCTGTTGGTTATGGTATGGGTAGGGGGCTTTGGTGGGCTGTCAACACCTTTACCACAAACCTAGCTAGCTAGCTAGCTAGCTAGCACTTCCGGTCTGTACGAGGAAGTGACTTCCCAGATCTTCTCACAGAGACGTTGAAGGGTAGCTTTAGCGTTAAATAATTACGCTTTGTCACTTTTTCTGAAAGCGTTGGTATTGGACACCCTGAGATGAGAACGGTCTGATGATTCCGAGTGTTACCTGTGGGCCTGTCTTGACATAAATGCAGTGGAAAGTGGAGATGCAGCACAGACAAACACCAATAGGTAGCAGACCAGTCTGAATACAAGCTGGAGGGGACCTAAGGCAGGGGGTGGAGCTCCAGATGTGGGCGGAGCTGTGGTTGTAGGTTTATCTGTAGAGAGAATCCCACCTGGTCAGATGACTCTCTGGATGAAATAAGTCCTGAAATCAAAGGTAACCTCCTCACCTGTGACAGAGATCCAGCTGGATGGAGACTCTCCACGACCGCTGATGTCACACTTGTAGAGGCCTTCATCAGACTTGTTAACATGGTGGATGGTCATGTGACCTGTAGGCTCAGTCCTGATGAGGGAGCCATCTTTATAGAAACCAGCTGGGAGGTTGGAGGGAGGGGTCTCTGTTTTACAGTGCAGAGTGACATCATGTCCCTCCATCACAGGGAGGACAGGACTCTGCAGGATCACTGGTCCACCTCAACACAGAGACAAACTACAGCATTTCATCATTTACACACAGCTTCATCAACACTAACTCCACAGTCTGATCTTACCAGTGACAGTGAGGTCAATGGTGTTACTGGTTGCTCCCTCTGTGGACTCACACCAGTACACTCCACTGTCCAATGGGTCGAAGTAGCTGATGTTACAGGAAGAAGCAGCTGATCTTCCCCAGTCAGCTCCACACTGAGTCCTGGTTTCTCTGGTTGTGTTCCTCCTCAGCGTCCATCCAGCAGAGCTGTCATCCTCCTTACAGCTCAGAGAGATAAACTCTCCTTCAAAATGCTGAGAGCAGCTGGGACTCACAGACAGAGAGGCTGGAGGGGATTATAAAACACTAAATGAACTCTGGAAGAAAGGTTGAAACCCAAACGTGTTTCTAGAGACTGAAGCCATTGATAAAGTTCAGGTGTCTTAACTCACCATCTGTCAACCAACTGCCATAGATCCTGGTAGAAATTGTACATTTTGTTTTTCCAATCATGTCTTCGTAAATTTGAATGAAGTTTATTTAGCATTTAGGAGTGGGCATTTGGGATTGAGGAGTGTATGCAAATAAGGGGCGTGGTCCAAAGACTGAAGGCTGAGTTTGAAACTGCTGGTGCACAGAGGCACCCTATGGTCAGCAGGGAGATCTGAGTGCTAAAGAGCACACTGCAATGAAACTAAACACAGCTACTGAGCAGGGCTGGAGGGAAGACAATACTTTATAATGTGATAATTTCCTTCTCTTCTCAATTTACACCACCTCACTGGGGCCGATCATTCGCTCGCATGGCTTCTCTTACCACTGCTACGCAGACGACACGCAGCTCTACCTATCCTTCCCGCCAGGCGATCCCACCGTCTCGGCACGGATCACGGACTATCTATCAGACATATCTGCATGGATGAAGGTTTGCCACCTTCAGCTAAACCTCTCTAAGACTGAACTCTTGGTCATTCCAGCCAAGCAATCTATCCACCATAGCATCAAACTACAAATTGACTCCGCAACCATCACTCCAACCAAGGTGGTGAGAAACTTGAGTGTCATGATTGATGACCAGCTGTCCTTTTCAGACCATGTTGCTACTGTCTCTCAGTCGTGCCGCTTTTCTCTATACAACATAAGGAAAATCAGGCCCTACCTCACTCAGTACGCCACCCAGCTTCTGGTACAGGCCATGGTTATCTCTCGCATCGACTATTGCAATGCTCTCATAGCAGGTCTTCCAGCTTGTGCGGTGAAACCCTTACAAATGGTTCAGAACGCAGCAGCGCGTCTACTCAGTGACTCCACTGCCTCCCAGTGGCCTCCAGAATTATATTCAAGTCACTAATGCTTGCATACAGAGTGACTACTGGGTCTGCACCAATCTAACTCCATAATACAAACTTGCGTTCCTTCTCGGCCGCTATGCTCCTCCAACGAACGCTGCCTGGCTCTGCCATCCCTTCACACAAAGCAATCCCAGTCCTGGCTATTCTCATCTGTGACACCACGATGGTGGAAGGAGCTACCACACGTCATCAGAGCAGGGGCGTCCCTCTCTAACTTCAAGAAGCTCTTGAAAACTCATCTCTTCCGAGAACACTTACTCTTATAACGCCTCTAACTCCTAACCTCTAACATGCACTTCCTGTGCTCTTCTTCTTCTATCCCCTACAATGATCTTGTATTGATTGCACTTTTTGCTTTGATTGCACTTTTGCTAACTCTTACTTCCTTCCCTAGGTATCTACCCCATTGATGTGATATGTACTGTGAGCTCTTACTAGTATTTATTGCTGCTCTTACTAGTATGTATTGTCAGTTGTAGATCTGTAGTTGTAGGAGAGGCAGAGAGACAAGGAAAGAGAAAGGTAGATTTAACAAGATAATGTTAATTTGTGCATTAACTTCAAACATCTACAACATCAGGGAAAAACCTTTTCTGTTTCAGGTTGTTCTACTAATGTTAGTCAGTTCCAGTTCTGCACACTGCATCACGGGGCGTGTTGGAAAACAGCCTGTGTGACCCGAAGCTGCAGAAATACTTTCACTTTCCATTAGTGACGTGTTAAAGTGTGTTTAGTCTCCGCTCCATCTCAGAACTGATGCTCCAGACTGTGCAGAAGTTACAGTCACTGTCTCCTGATGCCCCCAATGTAATCCTGGGATATTTTAATCACTGCTCACAGAACAAATCCTTAAAAGGCTTTTATAAATATATATCTTGCCCTACCAGAAATGGCAAGACACTTGATCAATGCTATGGTTCAATTAAAGGGGCCTATAAATCCATACCGCTCCCTCCACTTGGTACAGCAGACAATAATTGTGTACATCTTATTCCTGCATATCGCACATGTTTACAGAGGGGGAAAGTTCTCACCAAAAGGGTGAAGCTTTGGTCTGAAGATGCTGTACAAGAACTGCAAGGCTGCCTGGACTGTACAGTGTGGGAGGAGTTCATTACATAATCTAGGGACCTGGATGAGCTCACAAATGTTGTCAGTTCCTGGATCTCATAATGTGAAGAAACTGTAATTCTGAACAGAGAGGTAAAGATTTACCCCAACAATAAACCCTGGGTGAGCAAACAACCTAAACTCCTGTTAAATAAGAGAAAACATGATTTTAAACAGGGCAGTGTCAATGAACTAAATTCTATACAAAAAGAGATCAAACAGGAAATAAAGAGGTGTAGACTGGGTTACAAAGATAAGGTAGAAAGACAACTAAGTAATAATGATTTGGGCTCAGCCTGGGACACTGGCAAGAATATTGTTGGACTTAATGACAAATCAAGGAAAAATATATTTTTAGAAGTTTTTACGGCAGACTCTGCTCTGGCACAGGAGTTTAACAAGTTTTATTCTAGGTTCGATGTCCATGATTTTGTAAAGAAACGCGTGCATTAAGGGACAGTCTAATTAACTCTGGTCTTCTTACTCCTCTTTTTCCCGACCGCAATGTTGTGAACACTTTCAAACAAAGCAAGTCCTGTACAAGCCCTGGCCCTGACAAAATTAGCAGCCGTATGCTTACACATTGTGTGGATCAATAAGGCTTCATTTTTTTATCATATTTTTAACCTGTCTTTGTGCCAAGTCCCAAACTTACATCTTACATCTACAATTATTCCCATCGCAAGCAACCACCCCAAAATTCTGAATGACTACAGACCTGTGGCTCTAACTCCATTAGTTATTAAGTCCGTTGAAAAACTGATAAAGAAAGAACTGCTGGGTAGGATTAAACACCTCCTCAACCCCCTGCAATTTGCATACAGAGCCAACATGGGGGTGCAGGACGCTACCATAAATCTGCTCAACCCCATATACAAGCACTTAGAGGGTAAAAAAAAAACATGCCAGACTGCTCTTTGTGGATTTTTCGTCTGCCACCATCCAGCCCCATTTATTGGGGCAGAAGCTCATAGAAAATTTCGGGTTGGACTGCAACCTGGTGGGCTGCACTTTGGACTGTCTCACTAACAGGACACAGAGAGTGCGAGTAAATGGACATCTTTCTGGAATATCAGTGAGATCAACCGGCTCCCCTCAAGGCTGTGTTCTCTCTCCTCTGTTATACATTATGTGCACTAAAGACTGCCGTAGTGAACAGACGAATAACTGTATCGTAAAGTTTGCAGATGACACAGTCATAATAAGTTTAATGGACACCACTGAAACATCTCACGACCCTGTACTGAACTATTTTTTAAACCGGTGCAAAGAAACCTTTTGTGTGAAATGTTAAAAAGACGAAGGACATGTGCATTGATTTTAGACGTCACCATCCAACTCCTGAAAAGACGATAATAGATGGAAAAGAGGTTGAAATTGTTGAGTCGTACAAGTATCTGACATGCTCAGTAAGAAAAGTCAGCAACGTCTCTTCTGTCTGAGAAGGCTAGCTAAGTATCAAGTAGACAGATCCCTGATGACATTGTTTTATAAATATTTTATTGGGTACGTCTTTACTTTTTCATGTATTTGCTGGTATGCTTCTCTTAGTTTAAAACGGAAAAACACATTAGCAATGGTAAATAAAATTAGCAGCAAAATCATCGGGATTCAGCAGATAAAACTAACTGAACTGTACAATAGACATGGGCTTAAAAAGGCAGAATCCATCATGTCTGATAGTTCTCACCCCCTGCATGCAGAATTTAAGATGCTGCCTTCTGGTTCCCGCTTCAGTCAGCCACCACCCAAAAGAAAAAGATATAAATTCTCCTCCGTACCCTCTGCTATCTCTCTGCTTAACTCTGTGAAGAATAGGTAATGTCTGCACATAGGGCATGCTTGAACTTAAAATTTGAATGTTGTGTTATTTATTTACCCCTATGTCTGACCCTGTGTTTTTAATTGATGTTGTTGTCATTGTTGTCATTTACTGTATGTAATTCTTTGCTACTGCAGCAAAACTAATTGCCCCTCTGGAATTAAGGTCTTAAAATTGAAATTGAAAGTCACCAGTAAAAGGAGCACTATCGGTCTGACTATCATTGGATAATCCGTAATTCGTTTGTGATTCTTATTTGCTTCCAAAAAATCTATTTTTTGCAACTAAGTAATAAGAGTGCTGTACATACTCATACTTTTCATGTTCATACTTTTCAGTTGGCCAACATTTCTAAAAATCCTTTTTTTGTATTGATCTTAAGTAATACTCTACGTGTCTGAGATTTTCATTAGTTGTCAGTTATAATCATCAAAATTGAACACTTGAAATATATCAGTCAGTGTGGAATGAATGAATATAATATCCAAGTTTCACTTTTTGAATGGAATTACTGAAATAAATCAACTTTTTGATGATATTCTAATTATATGATCAGCACCTGTATCACCCTGTCTCATTGTCTGTCTCTCTCTCCTAGGCTCCACATCTCCTGGTTTGGGTTTGTTTCCTGAGTTGCCGTCAACCTTCGATCATACATTTTCACTCATCCATGCATTCCTGATAATCACGTTTTCTCTGTTGTAAATAGTTATGTTGTTTATAGTATATTTAATAAAACATTCTTTTTGGCACTTTAACCTGCTTGGTCTTCCCCTTATTGTCACATTCAATGAGCCGGGATGTGACAGTATCATCATCAGCCTGAACTCTTAAATCCTCCAGCTGTGTCCTCAACACTGACTTTTCTATCAGGGTTTGTGTGACAGTGAGTTTCAGACGCTGGCAGAAGGAGTTTACTCACCTTGGTTTGTTGTGCAGCACAGCAGTGAGGTCAGAACTAAAGAGAAATCACACTCAGGTTGGTTTGAGGTTTTACTGCAGACACAACAACTGTACACCTCAGAGAAGATGGAGACCCTGATCCTCACTGAACACTCACAGTATCTTCCAGCTGTAACATCACTGTGTGTTTGAGTCTTTGTCACCTGCATCAGGTTTAAGAACACATGTTCTACAGAACTTATTCATCTCTACATGGTGGAGCTGAGTGCAAAGTTAGCATGAGCCAGAGTCAGAACATCTACAATGAGAATGAGAATAACACAGACTTTTCTGTTGAACCTGAAGGCAACACAGAACAAACACACAGTGAAGCCAGTTACTTTGCATTAGTACGTCTGGGCATCCTGGACGACTGATCCTCTTAGATAACTAAAACTAACTAACCAACACTGCAGCTCACTCCAGGAAACTCACATTAACCATTTACCATCCAGTTTAAAGTTGAAGTTTCACTTCCTGCTCTAAAAAACCTGTTTGCTCGTCACATTTCTCTGTAATCTCAGTAACTTATAGCTCGTTCTGAAATTTCCTTTAATGCTTGTTTGGTCCACAGTGATCAATACACTCTTCTGTCTTTAAGATATTTCTACAATATCAGATTTTTTTATAATATGATCCCGTATCTCATCTTCTGTTCTTCTCCAACTCAGCACACCTGCTAACTGTGTAATTCTAGACAGAACAAATCGTACTTACAGATAACCCATTGAAGAGATGTTTGTCCCATTGCAGCACTTGGTTATGTGAGATCAAACGCCCTATAAGTTCACACCACCGTTTCCTTTGTACTTTTCTGCAAGGTTTACCTAAGGTAAGACGCCCCTGTACTTAAACCACAAGGAATTATTTGCTGAACTTATCAAAAGGTGTATTGATTATAATTACTTAATATCCCTTAAATTTAATTTGTCTGAAAGAGCTACTCATTTTTTATGAAAAAATGCCCACAGTGACACACAGCCCAATGAAGGTTTTGATTTCTTTCACCAACAGTTGTGCACTTAGTGCTGGGCTGAGTTTCGCTTCTGATCTGTTTTGCATTTGAATGTGTCTCAGTAACTGGCAAACTTGTTCGTTTACAATCCTCCAATAAGCCATAGATGAAAAGAAGAGCTTTGTGATTTCAGTGCAGCAAGACATGAATCATGAAGTACTCTTAAAGTTGAGTAGTTTGGAAGAAAGTTGAGTTGTCTGTTCCCATTGAAACCCATTCATTTTTAAATGCATAAAAATATTACTATAAAATCAGCCATTACAGATATCAGCAATAAAAGTACATATCTCCTGAACAGAAAGTACAGTTTGAAATTGAAATGAGGTTCCTAGGACAAACACTACAGGAGAAGATAGATGCAAAACAAATATCAAAATAAAGAGAGAAGAGAACAAAATTTAGTGTTGGCTCCAGAGTAACTCTTCTGACATCTGGTGGTTGAAAACAAACACAGAGAATCAACCTGACTTAGTAAGTAAATAAGATTTATTTACTCAGTCACGTGGTAACTTTTAGTAACTGGTGCATGCGATTTAAAAATCTCTAAACTGTGTTATTTAAAGTGTTTTCAGTTACAGGCTGGGATTTTCTTAATTTATTCAAGCATGTTTGTTCTTACATATTCTTAACCGAACACAAGAAGCTTCAAACTGTTTCTGTTTACTGTCAGCAGGCTCAGATATATTTGATCAGGGAAACATGCCAGTAGGATTTAGAAGTACAATACAGTTAGAACAGAAACACTCACCGCATCTTCCAAAATGATGATGATGATGATGAATATCCACCTCTAAACTGTTTTAACAAAAACTGAATATTACATGAAAGGATTTTTGCTGTGGTAGCCTGTATCCCTTCTCTTAATCAGGGTTGGAGCCCTGATGTGATTTGAAATCACAAAGTTTTCTATCTATGAGTCCCTGCTGAGTCAGTACTCATGCTTAGCCTTCCCTCCTCTTTTGACTCTCTGTTTGGGGAAGTAACCTCTGTAAATGCTTGGCACCTTTTCACTTCAATGATAAATTAATTTATTTTAACTAAGTTATAAACTCCTGTGTTTCTGCAGTCTGCATTCTCTGACATGTACAGAAAAAAGTTGCATTATTACAAGACTAACATCATCATTTAATAAGAATTTATATATTATTTAAGTCTAACTGCCCTACACCCTGCTGTGCATCACTTAGTAGGCAATCACCTTTAGTCCGTTTGTTTGTATTGATCAGGCAGAAATCTCACCACAAATCTACACAAATGTTAAATCAGCACCTTAGATAAAGCGCAGCTTACAGTCCCAAACAGTGCGAGGCTGTGCTTCAGTTTTTGCATGTTAATATAGCAAAAACTTTGTCAGCTACGTCACAGCTGGCACTTGATTGGGCTACTATAATGTTTCTGTGATGATAAAGTATGTCATGTTTTTGGTAAGAGTCCAAATTAATGCCATGGTGATGATTATGACATGGTTGTTTATGTTAACCCAGTTATGTGTTATGAATGTTGGTTTGCAGTGTTCAACACCAGAGTCCATGATGTGACTACTGTTTATGCTTATCAGACCAGATTCTCTAAGAGGTGTGCAAGACCACTCTAACCCCCAGTGAACAGGACCAAATGACAGTGGCAGAGCCAGAGAGTCAGTCTGTGCTGTTTACAGCATAATGCAAAACACAGGAAATTCAGCTGAACCACTATATGGACATTTGTGATGGACAGAGCCAAATTGTTCTCACTCCAAAGTCGTCACATATGGACGGATGGTCAGAGCCATAGTTGTCAGTTTGTGACGCAGTGGGGATGCCTTTACAATCACAGTTCGACGTATTGGGGGAAGCCCTGTAACATCGGTTTTTGACGGTAAAGGCAGGTATATGATATTTAACAGAAAAGGTTGAGTAAGGAAGTGGTTGGGGTGGATGGAGGGCCAGAACCTGGACTTTGAAGCAGGAGGCTGGGGTTTGTGTGCCACGTGAAACAAAATGTCAACATAAATATTTTTAATTAGGCAAGTTACATAAATTGACGTAAGTGACGTTATTTAAAGTACATTTTAACTCATGTACATAGTTGTTTGAACCAAAACCATGATCTTTTCCTAACCTTAATAAAGTAGTTTTGTTGCCTAAACCTAACCAGACTGCAATGTTTCAGGACTTCAATAACGCACGGTTTCAAAATGGCGATGTTTTGAAACGCTAGTGTTTTATTTTTGAAAGTGTAACTGGACGTTGCAAATTTATTGTTGCTAACTTTACCGGAAGTTGTATATTTGTTGTTACCAAACGTTGCTAACTCGACCGCGGAGCCCTAAATGTCAATAAATGACACAAAAGGGCTACCCAGGTCATTAAAAGCCAATGACAAAGGCCCTTGACCAAGCATCAATATGTGACGAGGTGGGAGTGAGAACGTGTTGACAGAGCCGCCTTCAGTTGTGGGCCATGAACAGGCCCGCCCTCCCCTCTTTGTTTAAGGTGGCGAAAAGAGTTATGGCACCTGTTGAACGTGTGTTCAGCCATGGTGGTGTGATGATGCGCCCACATCTTTCACTATTAAGCGACAAAGTGCTATCAAACTTAATTTGCCCCACATTTGACACATCCCTCTGAATAACCAATGGGGATGAAGCCAGAGACTCTGATCAAGAAAGGGCTGCCCCCCTAGATATGTGAGTGGATGGTAAACTGATATTCCAAATAACATGTGTTACGACCCCCTGTTGGTCTAGGGGAGTGGGGGCCATAAACATATAGGCACAACTGGTATAGATCTTAACAAGGTAACTTTTATTGGTAACAGAGATGTAGACAGGTAACAATAAACAAAAGGAGGGGGACGAGGGTGCTGCGAAAATAACAAACCAAGTTACCAAGGTCCTCAAAAGGAGGCCTGTACCTACCTATCTATTTAAGCAGAGTTGATTCTTGCTACAAAAGAACACAAAGAGCACAGCACCCACTCCACCTGGTGAAAACTAACACAATAGTAAACAAAACACTAAGTGAATTTCTCCACTACACCCAATGTGGAGCTAACAAACGAAGGTATGCAAATGGTTTCACTAAACACAATGTACAGCTAACAAGCAGAGTATGCAGTCAATACCAGCGGCACACAAGTCAATAGGCGGTGACAAGCTGCCCGGAGCAACAGGTGGACTCTCCTTATGAGGAGGAGGTAATCAATGTGGTGACGAGCCATTGGTTGAGTGGAAACAGAGGGAACCAATGGGCGGGACTGATGTCAGCACCCCAGAAACCAGGAAGTAGGCGCGTCTTCATTCCACAGGGACACAGCCTACTTGGTAGAGGTGAGACATAAAAAGTGAAACACAAAGGTGACAGCGACAGCCGTGACACTTGTTAATCCGAGCATCTCCATTGGTTATTGGGATTTATACATTCAAACAGTTGAATATACCTACAACACATTCTGTTAATGTGTAACAAAAATTTTATCTATTTGTTCAGATATTTTTAGCACATTTAAATGTACAAGAAGAAAAAAAATTCACAAGTAGAAATATTTTTCACATAGCTACAATATATTTGGGATATATTTTATATATGCTCTCTCTATAGACAAATGTCTGACTCTCTGACAAGCTGGCATTCCACTGTTGATTTCCAAATGGGCGGGTCCACTGTAAACAAAAACTACACAGCAGAAAGAAGAAGTCAGTCTGATCTCAGCTTCATCAGCTCTACTGTCATGGCTGCTTTCACATTTGCACCATTCGTGGCTTTGTTCACTTGTTCATGGATCTTTGTTCTGTGTCAAGGTAAGAGGAGTGTGTGTGTGTGAGATAATGGTACATTTAAGTGTAAAGAAGTAGAAAGTTTCTGTTTTTCAACATATGTACAGCATTAAACGCAGATATCAGAAATAAACCCCTGACAATAGATCTCTCAACATACTTCTGTATTTTAAAGGAAAGTTGTCAAGTGGATCAGCAGGTAGATGATTGATTGATTGATTATGTTTGATTATGAACTTTGCGTACTGAATTAAAAACTTTGTTAATAACTGTTATCTGTATTACTGTTGTAGTAACTTGTATTTAAATCTGTTTATAAAATTTTCATTATATTATTGATTCAAATATAAATGTACTACTTTAGACTTTGACTCTGTAGGCTGCTGGATATGTTTGTAAAGTTTATTATGAGCTGACTTATGAACAGAGTCTCCACCTCTGACCTCTGTTCCTCTCCAGCACTGTAGTTTACTGTGTGGACGGATGGACAGCAGAGACCAACATGTGTCCTCTCCCCTCTCGTGGTGTCTGTCCATGCAGATCCAGCAGCTTCATTTGTCTCTCTGAGAAGTAAAGCAGTTTCATACTGTAGGGACTCTTTCCTCAGTAGAAGTAGTTCAGACACAGTCTGAGTAGAGGACGGACAGACTGGGGACACATTTGGAAAACAAGGACAAAGATTCAAAGCTTCTAGGAAATAATAAACTTCACATGTTTAATATTTCAGCTGTTTGTTCAGGGTCAGAAATGCTGATGTCTGTATTCAGATGGGAAATAATATCAATAATCAATAATCTCCAAACAAGCAGAAAGCAGATGAAAGTAAAATGTCTCCTGTCTGATGGTGCGGAGGACGACTTGACTGACAGCTGTAGAAATGAGCAACATGAAGTCAGCGTGCAGCTGCAGCAGAGGAGTTAGTCTCTCCTTTCTGCAGCTGGGACTCAAGTTGTCTGAGAACAGGGTTTGAAATGCTGCTGAGTTCACATGTGCTGTTTTATAGAGACCTGATCTCTGCTGCTTCCATCAAAAGATGTTTGAACAACAGGAAACATTACAAGTCCTGACTGGAGGCTTTTCTCTTTCTGTTCAGAGACACCGGAGCTGAAGGTGAAGCCTGGAGAGGACGCCACTCTTCAGTGTCAGGGTCACAGAGATGCTGACATAGAAGTTATAAAGTGGATCAGACCTGACCTGAAGTCAGATGATGGTTATGTCTTCTTCTTCAGAGAAGAACGCTCATATGAAAACTACCAGCATGAATCTTATCGTGGTCGAGTGGAGCTTCAAGATCCAGAGATGAAGGACGGAGACGCTTCTGTGATTCTGCAGAACGTCAACATCAACGACGCTGGAACATATGAGTGTCGGGTTAGAGAAGAAAAGGAGACAGGCCAAGCTAAACCCATCAGCATCATCAGGCTGAAAGTGACAGAGCCAGGTGAGTGTGTAGAGCTCAGAGTGTCTCTTTGTCTCTCAGGTGAGCGTGTAGAGCTCAGAGTGTCTCTTTGTCTCTCAGGTGACCGTGTAGAGCTCAGAGTGTCTCTTTGTCTCTCAGGTCAGCGTGTAGAGCTCAGAGTGTCTCTTTGTCTCTCAGGTGAGTGTGTAGAGCTCAGAGTGTCTCTTTGTCTCTCAGGTCAGCGTGTAGAGCTCAGAGTGTCTCTTTGTCTCTCAGGTGAAGCTGCTTCCTGGTAGTTGAGCTGAGAAACATCACAGATCAGATGTTTGTGTTTTAGAAAGATGTTGCTGATGAGACTTTAGAGGAAACAGCTGCTACGAGTCATGTGATCAAAGTGCAGTAGATAATGTCTGACATTCTGTTCACCTGCTGACAGCTGATACCTCACACCTGTTTCTGCTCTGCAGGTCACACAGCTGGACACAAGGAGGGAGGAGACAAAGAGGGAGGAGACAAGGAGGGAGGAGACAAGGAGGGAGGAAAAACCGAGGAAGGAGACAAGGACGTAGGAGACAAATATAAAAATATTGAACTCTGAGTGAGTCTGTTAGTTTGTGTGATTCTTGTTGTTGTTGTTTTTAGAAAGCCCAAAAAAGATTAATACCAACCTGCCAATCCTGAAACTGTCAGTCACATTTTTCTGGCAGCGTGGTTAGCTTGGTAAACCAACCGAGTCCTTACAACTGTGACCCAGCTTCAAGTCCAGCCTGTGGCTGCGTGTTGTCCACTATCTCTTTCTGCGTTTCATATGACTATCCACTTTCTTTCAAATAAAGGCAAAATTTTAAAATAGTCTCTCTCGTAAATCTGCCTCATGTGTCTCCCATGAAATAAATCCAGAAGTATCTAAAAGGTGGAGGCAGATGTGACTGACTGTAGCTGGATCATCAGCTGTGACTGTTTGCGAATGCTTTTAAATCTACCAGTGATTTCAAGTCCTGTGTGATTGGAAAGGTAGGGTGGAGCGGTGACTGATGGTGCATTCATGTGCTGTCAGAATAATGAGAATCTTTTTTTCCTCCATAAATCTTTGTTGCAAATAGATAAAGTTCACATGGTACATAAGTATACACCTAAATATACAGAACAGTTTACAAATGTATAAGAAGACACCGATAATAAAAACTTTGCCTGGAGAGGACCATTTTTTGACTGTTGTTGGTTTTAGAAATGAATTAATATAAGATATTGTAGATGTCTGCGTTTAAACGCTCTGATAATGCTAATCCAACACATCTTTGTAGTAGCGTCTATGTCGATTCCACATTCCAACTTAAGAGCCCATGAACACACGCACTGAACGACATCACAACTTGGGAAATGGGAACATCTGAGGCACTAGCAGACTGGGAGAATTGGGACATCGCCCTGTGGCCTGAGGGCGTGCGACCTCTGACATAAATAGCAATAGTAAGTTGCTTTGGATAAAAGAGCCAGCTAAATGAATAAATGAAGCTGACAGTCCATTCTAACTACTCTCTTTACATTAATGTAAAAACAGACTTCATTTCAGTTATATGTTGAGTTTTACAACAGTACCCTGCTGCAGATGTAACCAGGAGTCAATAAAACCTGATCAGGATCTTTGACCTTCCTTATTAACTGTAACTCTGTATAGCTGAGAAACAAACATGAAAACTGATGGCTCAAAATGTCTTTCTAGGCCAGTCCCTGTAATCAGAGAACAAAATGGCAGGTAGAGTGTAGTTTGGAGCAGCTCTGAGCTCATTTGAACTTCACCATCCCCCACGTCTTATTCTGAGTCAGGATGTGGGTTCAGTCCTCCCTCCTTACTGTTGGCTGGTAAAAAAATAACTAATAGGAGAACAGACTGTTGCTCTTTCATTTATCTGTGTCTGAAGACAGTTTTTTTCTATGTTAAAGAATTAAGATTTCACATAAATCTTTTAACTGTTTGTCAGACTGAACTGAACTCAACACTCCAATTCGAGCATAACCATGTAACCAAAATACAAATACAGTGATAAAAGAGTCTGCTTTGCAAAGTTATCAGGCAAGATAAACTTAACAAAATAAAATGAGAATTAAGGTTATTAAATTTTGCATCCTCAAGAATTCTTTAACGGTAGAATGAGTTGAAATGTATTCTATATACTATAAAGGGTTTATAGTGTACAGATAACTCTTATCCTTATTGTATTACTATTAAATCTCGTATTTTTCATGTAATGCGTATTTTCTCATCTGCTGTGTTGAATCTGGAGCTGCTTTAACAAGTGAATTTCCCCAGTGGGGTTTGGTTGCCAGACTTCTTATTTTTTATTTCCTTTCCGGTAATGCTCTTCTGTTGGATATTTGCAACAATTATACTACTGTTCATGTTATTGTATCCACTTTCTGGGGCTTTCTCTCTATAAACAAATGTCTGACTCAACCTGACATCCCCCTGATCAGAGACTGACACTGTTTTTTACCATTTGGGTGGTCCGCTGTCAATAAAAACTACAGAGCAGGAAGAAGAACTCAGTCTGGTTTCAGCTTCATCAGATGCTGCAACTCTGCTGTCATGGCTGCTGTAACATTACTGCGTCATTTGTTGCTTTGTTCCCATGTTCATGGATCTTTGTTCTGTGTAAAGGTAAGGGGAGTGTGTGTGCGCCATGTGCTTTATTGTAAAGAAGAAGAATGTTTTGTTTCCCCCATACATACAGCAGCATAAAACACAGATATCAGAGGACGATTGTAGACAGGACAGAGTTACAGAGAAGGCAGCACAGTCTTGACTTTGAGAGTAGCCGATGCACGAGGCGACTAACGAGCCTCGTGCAATTTTAACTCTTAACTTTGACTTTGCGTGGAAGAAAATGTATACTGTACATTAAAATATATACAATGTCATGACATAATTTGCAGTACAACATTATTGTCAGTGTTGGGAGCAACATGTTACAAAAGTAACACAATTATAGTAATGTATTGCTTTTTGCTGTAATGCAATAATTTAACGCATTTCTAAAACAAAATCAGTAGTATTATACCTGTTCCAGGCTGAGTAATGCACGTTACAACGCACTTTAACCCAAAGTGGTGTTTTGTTTTGTAATAATTCACCAACACCGAAAAATATTTCGGCACGAGAAAAACAAATCCATGAGTAAAAGAGTAACGTAACGTCCTGTTGCTGGAATCCAATGGTCGAGATTGTAGGCAGGGTGCAAACTACGGGAGCTCCGCTCCTCTTCACAAGACAGTAGCTCCTTTGATCAAGGATCTCAAATGACAGTAACTAGTACACTTTACATTACATTTTGGAAGTAACTTGCCCAACACTGATTATAATAAGGTGATGCACTCTGTTAGGGCAGCTGAGAGGATCCAAAAGCGGACACAAGGAGACGCCGAACAGTGTAGGAAGGCTGCTGCTGATCAATGACTCAGACAGAGAGCACAAGGGACTGTAAAAAACCAGCTTCAATTGAGAAACATGGAAGGTCTGATGAATTCTGATGGAGCGGGGCAAGGCCAGTTTAACAGCCTCGGGGTTGACAACTCTGTTAATCACAAAGGGACCAATGAACCGAGTGGGACAGTCCTGAGAGGAATATACCTAAAGAACACCCAAACACTCTGACCTTGTTCATACGCAGGGACGGGGAACCTGTGTCAGCAAGTCAGCAGTTATTTTCCACAGAGCAAAGTAAGTCTGCTCCGGTGTCCCTCAAGAGCTTGTGGCAACGCCTGATGTGGTGCTGAACCGAAAGGACCGTTCGCTCGCTCTCCTGCGAAGGAAACAGAGGTGGTTGGTAGCCAAGAACGGCTTCAAAAGTGGCCCGCCCTGTGGCACCACTGGTGAGAGAGTTATGGGTGTACTCCACCCAGGCCAGATGTGAACTCCATGTGCTCGGATTCGCGGCCGTAACACAGCGCAGGGCAGCTTCCAAGTCCTGATTCGCCCTCTCCGCTTGACCATCCGAAACCAGAGGAAAGGCTCACTGTTGCTCCTAGTAAATGACAAAACTCCTTCTACCTTGGATGTGACCTTGGATGTGAATTGCGGTCCTCTGTCAGAGACTAAGTCCGTTGGAATCCCATGTAGACGGAAGACGCGCCGGGTAAGGAGGTCTGCAGTTTCACAGGCTGTAGGCAACTTAGATAAGGCAATGAAATGTACAGACTTGGAGAACTGATCCACAATGGTAAGTATTTTATCATTACCTTGGGAAGGGGGCAACCCTGTCACAAAGTCCGAGGCGATGTGTGACCAAGGCCATCCAGGCATGGGCAGTGGAAAGAGTTGGCCTGCTGGAGGGCAGTGAGATGCCTTACTCCTAACGCTGCAGGCAGCCACATATTCTCGGGTGTCAGCCTCAATAGTTTTTATAGGCAAGGTACAACTTCACTGAACAAGACCAGGTCAAGCAAGCCTGAGTCAGAGTGTTAAAATAGTTAAATATAATCAAAAACTACAATGCAGTCTCATAAAATAGAGCTGTGTGTGTGTGTGTGTGTGTGTGTGTGTGTGTGTGTGTGTGTGTGTGTGTGTGTGTGTGTAAAAAAATAAAACCATCAGTTTCAGCTCTGAGTAGGCCTATCTGGATCAGCTTCCCTGTGCTGGACCCTGACTCTGCTTGTACTGATTGTACAGCTACACATGCACAAGAAGAACATCAGGAATAAATATGACTAACAATAATCCATTTTCTTTTTCTATCTATGGATAATTCCCTACCCAGCCCTGCACTTATCACTGTTTCTGGTTTCATTTTCCTACTCCTCTTCCTTCTTCCTCTGTTGTTCATAATATATATTAAAGCCTGACCGATATGGGTTTTTTGGGGCCGATGTTGATGCCAATATTAAAGTAAAAAAGAGCCGATTTATGAGCCGATATTTAGATAGAGAATGATTTGGATAGTACACCCCTTTACTGTAGTAACAACACTTAGAACAGGACGATATTGAAAGCTGGTATGTTTGTGGGCTGTAAAACCTTTTCCTAAATGGATTACGTTAATAAAATAGATTACAGTCTCAAAAACTGAAGATGTAAACAATTGCATATCAATAAATGTTTGTTGCTGGAATGTGCAACTTTTTCAGCCATCTGTAAACAGAGAGAATAAGCATGCGTATTTCACTTTACACATAATCTGCCATTATTCCAATGTAGCATATTCACATCTAGTTTATCGTTGTACCAGCACTCTTCTAACTAAAGCTACGAGAAACCATTTCTCATCATCGGTATAAATCATGCCATCTATGATACAGTGAGCTGCTGTTGAATGCATCTAATACAACATGACTCTCTACAATGAGGACTTGCAACTGTAAGATTTCATTTAACTAACGTTATGATTACAATCAGAGCCGTTAAGACTTTCTCTATGTACACAATAGGCTTTTTGTGTACATAGAGAAATTCTTAGATCTTTTGAGTTCAGCTCATGATGAATTCGGTGGAAAAAACAGTGTTGCGCTGATAATTTTGTTCAGTGTTCGTACATAGACATTAAACAAGAAAACATCTCTCGTTGTGTTGTTTTTTGGAGTTTTGTCATCACTGTAGGTTGGCAGGAGTCGATGACTACAAGATGCCGCTGCTCCCAGCCAAGAAATAGTCCTGCACACATCCTCCAGTACATCCACAATGCATCAATTAACACCTCCTGACAGGTGGATTATGTTGCCTTTGGACAGAACCAGCCTAGACATTTCTTCAGTTTCACCTATACAAGAAAAGGTGAGTGATGAAACTCCTACTGAACTGAAGTCAAAGTCTTTTGATAAAAATCTTTCCTGATGCTCCTTCATGCAGCTGTCTGTTCATGGTGAACATGAAGCTACCTTTAATGAGACAAACAGGATATGAGCTTTGTGGTTTTTTTGCCGTATGTCTCTGCGTTTAACTGAAAAGCTGTGATCTGTCATTGACTGTTGTTTCAGTGTTGTTGAGCGTCTGCCAGACGTCTGCCAGCACAAGTGGTGAGTTTCAAACCTTATGTATGTGTGTGGAAAAGAATATTTAAAGTTTAATGTAATTATTTTGCTACTTGTTACGTTGGAAGGAGTGGAATTTGTAATTGTTTTATTTACAATCTGTGTACTCTGTAAAATCTCAGGTTATCTTTCAGGTGTGTTTGCCGCCCACCACCTGTCGTCACCACTTCCAGTCTGTTAAAGACTGCTCACTTGTTGCAAAGCGTATTCTTGCTGCTGGAGAAATTATGCCGGGAACAAAGAAGGTAAGGTGACATATTCACCAGAGGGAGGTGGTTTAATAAAACATCACACTTTCATACCGGAAACCATGTTCACTTCCTGTTTTCTACAAAGTTGGAACAACAAGTCAACCTTGCTTCAAATCATGCCTGCCGTCGTCACTAATCGTTACAAAGTGGTTATTATTTGCATAACCATGACAACAAAGGTCACCTAAATTAAATAAGCATTAATTTCAACCCAAACCACAATGTTTCCCTGTCCCTAACCAAACCTTAAGTTGTGACATCCCAAAACAGATTTGTAACAGTAAAACTCAGACAAATGATGTCGTCCTGCTGATCGCTGCGTCAGATTAGTAAAATACTTCTATGTGATGTTCCAGAGGACTAACAACATACACTCACCTCAAGGATTTTTAGTAACACCTGTTCAATTTCTCATTAATGCAATTATCTAATCAACCAATCACATGGCAGTTGCTTCAATGCATTTAGGGGTGTGGTCCTGGTCAAAACAATCTCCTGAACTCCAAACTGAATGTCAGAATGGGAAAGAAAGGTGATTTAAGCAATTTTGAGCGTGGCATGGTTTGTTGGTGCCAGACGGGCCGGTCTGAGTATTTCAAAATCTTCACGCACACGCATTTCTAGGGTTTACAAAGAATGGTGTGAAAAGGGAAAAACCTCCAGTATGCGGCAGTCATGTGGGCGAAAATGCCTCGTTGATGCTAGAGGTCAGAGGAGAATGGGCCGACTGATTCAAGCTGATAGAAGAGCAACTTTGACTGAAATAACCACTCGTTACAACCGAGGTATGCAGCAAAGCATTTGTGAAGCCACAACACGCACGACCTTGAGGCGGATGGGCTACAACAGCAGAAGACCCCACCGGGTACCACTCATCTCCACTACAAATAGGAAAAAGAGGTTACAATTTGCAAGAGCTCACCAAAATTGGACAGTTGAAGACTGGAAAAATGTTGCCTGGTCTGATGAGTCTCGATTTCTGTTGAGACATTGAGATGGTAGAGTCAGAATTTGGCGTAAACAGAATGAGAACATGGATCCATCATGCCTTGTTACCACTGAGCAGGCTGGTGGTGGTGGTGTAATGGTGTGGGGGATGTTTTCTTGGCACACTTTAGGCCCCTTAGTGCCAATCGGGCATGGTTTAAATGCCACGGCCTACCTGAGCATTGTTTCTGACCATGTCCATCCCTTTATGGCCACCATGTACCCATCCTCTGATGGCTACTTCCAGCAGGATAATGCACCATGTCACAAAGCTCCAATCATTTCAAATTGGTTTCTTGAACATGGCAATGAGTTCACTGTACTAAAATGGCCCCACAGTCACCAGATCTCAACCCAATAGAGCATCTTTGGGATGTGGTGGAACAGGTCCTTCGTGCCCTGGGTGCATCCCACAAATCTCCATCAACTGCAGGATGCTATCCTATCAATATGGGCCAACATTTCTAAAGAATGCTTTCAGCACCTTGTTGAATCAATGCCACGTAGAATTAAGGCAGTTCTGAAGGCGAAAGGGGGTCAAACACAGTATTAGGATGGTGTTCCTAATAATCCTTTAGGTGAGTGTATGTCTGTCCCATTGCTCCACCACTCCGTCAGTCCAGTTAAACTCTCTTCCTCCTCTCTGTAGGTGAGTGTAGTGACTCTGTAGAAGGTTATCTGGTTTTGCTTCTTCTCTTAAGAGATGATCAGGAGACACGGGGCCCTACACAAAGTGTTTAATCACATGCAGGAAATGACAGCGCTGCAGTTTTAACATGAAGGAGTAAGAAGGGCTGATCTGAGATCACTAAGAGACAGATTCATTAGAAACAAAGATGTAAAGTTCCTCAGTGGAGTTTCTCTCCACTCTGTAAATTTCAGTGTGATGAAGATTACACTTTAGATCAAACTACCTGTGTTTGTCTTACTTCTGTTTTGGTTGTTGCAGTGACACAGATGTCCTGCAGGAGTCAGTAACTGTGAGTGTTTACTGTGAAACTAAACTGTGGTTCATATCTAATGTTTAATTATCAGTGTGAGTCCTGTTTAACATATACTATCTGGACTTCTGCTGCAACATGACCTACCCAAACTCTGGTGTTAATGGTTTCAACTAACAACAGTCCTCCTGGAACAGATGTATGCCTTTATGCTGAAAGAGCATCAAGTTGAAATTGAATGTTACATCTTCCAGCTTCTCCTGGGAAACCCAAAGTATTCCCACCCTATATGAGAAAAAAGGTCCTCACTTTGTGTTGAAAAATGGTGGGGACCATTTGGCTTAGATTATGGATGTACAATACACTTAACTCATGAGACATGACCACAATATTTGGGTCATGAAAACAAGACACAAGAACATTATTTTGAAGAAATATTCAGTGCTGAAATATGATTGGGGGCAACACAATCCAGGTGGCAGGTGACAATTCAAAATATGAATATGTAATATAATGTGGAAATTAGTAGCTTGTTTTTTTAGCTTAAGTTACTTTTTTTGGACATGCACATTTCTATTTTTTATATTTAAATTGCGTTGCGTGTTTTCTTATTGTGCAAATAAAACTTTCTCAAAGCATTTTCATTTGTTAGTTAACATTTCTCATTGCAAGCTATTTTTCGGAACATTTTAACTAATTATGCTTCAACATAATTGGTCCCCAGAGTCCCCTGTGTAGATGACACCTATGATGAGATATGTAATCTCTCAGTGTTCAGGGTCTACCTCGGGTTTTCCAGCTGCTTATATCTTGTTCTTTCAGTAAGTACCCAAAGCCACTGACCGAAGGTAGTGAAGCTCTGATCTCGATCTTTGCTTTCCAGCTTTATGTTAAAACATAAATCAACTTTGGTTTATCACTCTCAAGCTGAGTTCAATTCCTCTAGCCACACCCAGACCTGATTACTCCCACACCTGTTCTCAATCAAGAAATCACTTAAATAGGACCTGCCTGACAAAGTGAAGTAGACCAAAAGCTCCTCAAAAGCTAGACATCATCATGCGATGCAAATAAATTCAAATAAATATTTAAAGCCATTCCTAAAGATTTGGGACTTCAACAAACAACACTGAGAGCCGTTATCCACAAATGTCGAAAACATGGAACAGTGGTGAAAGACCAAAATTACCCCAAGACCGCAGCGACAACTCATCCAAGAGCTGCATCCAAAGAACTGCAGGCTTCACCTGCCTCAGTTGGTTAGTGTTCATGGCTCCACCGTAAGAAAGAGACAGGGCAAAAATGGGCTGGAGGGCAGTTCCAAGACGAAAACCACTGCTCAGCAAAAAGAACATAAAGGCTTGTCTCAATTTTGCCAGAAAACATCTTGATGATCCCCAAGACTTTTGGACTGACGAGACAACAGTTGAACTTTTTGGAAGGTGTGTGTCGCACTACATCTGGTGTAAAAGTAACGGCATTTCAGAAAAACATCATACCAACAGTAAAAGATGGTGGTGTGGTGGTCTGGGGGCTGCTTTGCTGATTCAGGGCCTGGAAGTAAATGGAACCATGAATTCTGCTGTCTACCAAAAAATGTCCGGCCATCTGTTCATGACGTCAATTTGTTTGATGATCTGAAACATTTCAGTGGGACAAACATGCAAAAAAATAAGAAATCGGCAAGGGGGGCAAACACTTTAACACCAGTGTGAATAAAAAACAAATACTTTGACAGCGTCTGGTGCTGAAAAAGATCTCAGTTATGACAGCAGAATCACATAATCACAAAACACACCATTACTAACACTGAAAGAACACGACAATGGAGGAGATACTGCTGGATATTCAGCACTTCATTAAATCTTAACATAACATACAACTCTGTTTCAACACATTAGTTTCTAACATAAATCAAACCTGCGTGATGACAATAACTCTGTTTAAACAATTTACTACCACACTGGAGCATGTACAGTGGGTACGGAAAGTATTCAGACCCCTTTAAATTTTTCACTCTTTGTTTCATTGCAGCCATTTTCCAAAAATCAAAAAAGTTCATTTTATTTCTCAGTAATGTACACTCAGCACCCCATCTTGACAGAAAAAAACAGAAATGTAGAAATTTTTGCAGATTTTTAAAAAAAGAAAAACTGAAATATCACATGGTCATAAGTATTCAGACCCTTTGCTCAGTATTTAGTAGAAGCACCCTTTTGATCTAATACAGCCATGAGTCGTTTTGGGAAAGATGCAACAAGTTTTTCACATCTGGATTTGGGTATCCTCTGCCATTCCTCCTTGCAGATCCTCTCCAGTTCTGTCAGGTTGGATGGTAAACGTTGGTGGACAGCCATTTTCAGGTCTCTCCAGAGATGCTCAATTGGGTTTAAGTCAGGGCTCTGGCTGGGCCATTCAAGAACAGCCACGGAGTTGTTGTGAAGCCACTCCTTCGTTATTTTAGCGGTGTGCTTAGGGTCATTGTCTTGTTGGAAGGTAAACCTTCGGCCCAGTCTGAGGTCCAGAGCGCTCTGGAAAAGGTTTTCGTCCAGGATATCCCTGTACTTGGCCGCATTCATCTTTCCCTCGATTGCAACCAGTCGTCCTGTCCCTGCAGCTGAAAAACACCCCCACAGCATGATGCTGCCACCACCATGCTTCACTGTTGAGACTGTATTGGACAGGTGATGAGCAGTGCCTGGTTTTCTCCACACATACCGCTTAGAATTAAGGCCAAAAAGTTCTATCTTGGTCTCATCAGACCAGAGGATCTTATTTATCACCATCTTGGAGTCCTTCAGGTGTTTTTTAGCAAACTCCATGCGGGCTTTCATGTGTCTTGCACTGAGGAGAGGCTTCCGTCGGGCCACTCTGCCATAAAGCCCCGACTGGTGGATTGCTGCAGTGATGGTTGACTTACTACAACTTTCTCCCATCTCCCGACTGCATCTCTGGAGCTCAGCCACAGTGACCTTTGGGTTCTTCTTTACCTCTCTCACCAAGGCTCTTCTCCCCCGATAGCTCAGTTTGGCCGGACGGCCAGCTCTAGGAAGGGTTCTGGTCGTC